ATAGTGAGTATAGGGGATAATACGGATAACATGAGGGTCCTCTCATATTCCGACTAAATTTGGGTCCCATTGAGGGTTTAGGTTTCCGGGATTAGGGTGGCAGTTTCAAAATTAGGGTCCCACTTTTGTACCCCTAAATATTAGGTGCCGTAATACGATCTATAACCAACAGGGGCCCATATTTTTGAGAATAACTAATCCGGGGGACATTGACAGAGATGTTTAGTGTATAGGGCCTAGGATTAAGGTTAAACGTTTAGGGTGGATACCAACAGTCCTGCACGACACTGCAAACCCTAAAGCTTGGGAATTCTTGTACCGTAGTATACTAAGGTCATGGTAGGACCACCTGGTGGGACCCTAAACCCTAAACCCTAAACCCTGCCCTTGTAACTTTTAAACCTGAAGCTAGCTGTTGTTTCGTAATGTCAGGACGTGTTCAGGTTTTTGGGGTTATCATCATTTAGATCCACATGTGGGGTGAGGCGGTAACAACGTTCTAAGTTGTTAAGCTGAGAAAACATTGGAACTCTAAGACTCTAAGGTTGAAACCATGGGCCCCTAGTATGGGCCCTCAACCCTCGGATCCTTATATACCTACCATATACCCTATATGTACCCTTAAGGGTCCCTAAAAAGGCCTAAGGGCCCATATTAGGGTCCCATACTTAAAGCCGTAGAAGAACAGGGATAGTCGAAGGGATCCTAGACTGGAATCTTGCCATACGGGACCAAGTCCCAAAACAAGTCAAATCCTAAGCCTCAAACCCTAAACCCTAGAGCGATAAACGAGGCCAACGAAATGTACGTAGGAACCGTTTGGGCAGAACTTACATCCACGCCCTAAACCTGAACCCTAAACGCCATCTTTTGAAACCCAAAGAACTTTCCAGCCTAAACCCTAGGTCAATCCCCCCTATAGTAATGGCTCCTCAATATGGAGTTATTAGGACCTTAATATACCTACAATAGTCCCTTGTGGTACCCATTACTGGGTGGGGGATTGACCCAACCTAAACCCTAAACCCAGCCTTCATGGACTCAATGTAGGGCAGCATGCCATCCCGAGGCTTTCCAAAATACGACATGACTATTGCGTACCTCAGCTCTGTTTAAGGTTTGGGGTTTGAGGTTTAGGGTTTATAAGTCAGGATTTATAGGGTTAACTGTTTGGGGTTTGAGGTTTAGGGTTTAGGGTTTAGAATTCAGGGTTTATAGGGTTGAAGGTTAAGGGTGCAGCGCTAAACTAGGGTTTAAGGCTTCGAATTGATATGGAAGACTGAATGCTTCACAATACTATACTATCCCCTGATCTTCATGAGATAGCTGTAGTATAATTAATTAATGTTCCCACATTCCATTCACACTGTTCTCGCCGCTACGGTATACTGGAAGTTTCTTAACGTACGCAGTCAAGCTGTAATGCCCAAACAGTGACGGGGATGCTAGCGTAAACCCTACACCCTAAAACCCTAAACCCTAAAGCCCTAAACTCTTAAACCCTGACCTAAAGTGGCTAGCAGATGCGCATTCCATCGATGTTGCCTACGAACTATTTCCGATGTAGGCAGAGTGTGTAGTAGGAGGATGCGCTCGGCTCATCCCCATCCTAAAGCCCAAACCCGCACTAAAGCCTAAAGCCGGAACCCTACCCACCCTAGCAAGTTTAAGTGAGTTATGTATTCAGCATTGAGGATCTCTACCTAAACCCTAAGCAGTCGCTTCCATTTGATTTTCAATCTGCTTGTCCATTTGATTGTCGAATAGCCGTATAACGCCTTTCTCAAACTTGTATGTATATATATATACCCCTTGACCGATATAGCCCATATATAATAGTACCAGGCAGCAGGATTATTCAATTTCCCCTTAACGAAGAATTATGAAATTGTGTCGGATAAGTCTGTTGTTTAATGTTCATGGCCAGTCCTCATTGGTGGCTAGAAGGGAATAAGGAAAGAGAATGCCTATATACATCCTATATATATATGCATAATTATCCCTTATTCCGTACTAACCGCCAGAACGAATGATGCGTCTAGTTTTTTTTTTATATTTCATTCCGGAAGCTTCCAGATGGAGGGATGAGGCTTAGGCTTTGACATTTTTGCTTGCAGAGAGCAGGTTGGCAGCAGGCAGACAACTTCCAGCGGCATCGTTGCGAAACAACA